GCCCAGCCGACGCCAGACGACGCCAGGGCGTACATCCGACCCCTTGGGAAGCAGCAAAGTGCTGCGCCTGCCACGAAATCTGCGCCGGACATCCGACCCCTTGGGAAGCAGCAAAGTGCTGCGCCTGCCACGAAATCTGCGCCGGTGCCCAGCCGACGCCAGACGACGCCAGGGCGTACATCCGACCCCTTGGCAGGCAGCAAAGTGCTGCGCCTGCCACGAAATCTGCGCCGGTGCCCAGCCGACGCCAGACGACGCCAGGGCGTACATCCGACCCCTTGGACTCCGACCCCTTGGCAAGTCATGTTGTGTGTGTGTGCTGTTGTGTGTGAGACGTTGTGTGTGGGACGTTCTCTGAGTGATGTTGTTGTGAGAGATGTTGTAGTAGAGTGGCAAGTCATGTTGTGTGTGTGCTGTTGTGTGTGAGACGTTGTGTGTGGGATGTTCTCTGAGTGATGTTGTTGTGAGAGATGTTGTAGTAGAGAGGCGTACATCCGACCCCTTGGCATCCGATGTTGTGTGTGTGTGCTGTTGTGTGTGAGATGTTGTTGTGAGAGATGTTGTGTGAGTGATGTTGTATGCGAGACGTTGTGTGTGGGATGTTGTCTGAGTGATGTTGTTGTGAGAGATGTTGTGTGAGAGAGGTTGTAGTAGAGAGAGATGTTGTGTGAGTGATGTTGTATGCGAGACGTTGTGTGTGGGATGTTGTCTGAGTGATGTTGTTGTGAGAGATGTTGTGTGAGAGAGGTTGTAGTAGAGAGGAGGAAGGAGGAACGCGGAAGGCGGAGCGAGGAGGTGCAGCAAAAAAAACAATAACCCCACACAACAATGTGGGGAAAAATATGTAAAAACGACAAAGAAGCATCCTTACCACTGACGCCGACATCAAATTCTTACAGCGGGGTCCTTTGTTTGCCTTGCTCATCCTTCAGCTCTTTGGCATCAACCTGCTCGGAGAGAAGTGCGTTATTTCCTGGAAAGACAGAAGCAATGGTGTTCGGGTTCTCAGAAAACCCTTGGACATTGACAAAGCCACACTACTTCAGGTGCTTACTCATCAGAAGATTGTTCAATTGGTGTGAATTCTTTCACAGTCGTGACGAATTGCTCAACTGGTTCGGATGCGACAATCATTTCTAGTGAAACAATCTCATGGTTGGCCCCATCAGAACATCACGACACAGCTGTCAAGTAGCGGCAAAGCTAGCAGATTGTTTGTGGGTCACACCCTTTGGGGACTTGTGTCGTGTGGTCATACAATTGGAAGATGTAGTCACAATGCTTGATTCTTCAGAGCCGAGGAACGCGCAAAAATGGTCCTTGCAATGCCGGCTCTTAGTTTGAGCTGGAGTGTATCCTGGTTTTGCACCTTGCCATGTTTCTTAGATTTTCTTAGTGAGTTTATATGCGTCTGACATTCAGGTATCTGCAACTCTTCCTACGAGTGTCCTTTGGCACTTGCGACAACAGCCGTGCAACGTTGATCCTGATGTTTTAGATTCTGGATGAAATCAGACTTGCTATAACTTTACAGGGCGCGTTACTTTGATCGCCGATATGACGTGGTTCCATTGAAGGCCCTCAATGTCATAAAGAGCCAACAATTTCGACATCCACACGATGTTGAACCTCCACCACATCTTTGCTTGCAAAAACGAAAGTCCACGCTTCAGATTCAAACGACGAATAAAAAATCCTTGCAGTGACCCTGTCCAGCCTCCAGCTTCCTAGAGAAGGGTCGGCCATCGATGAGTTCGAAGTGAAGCTTCGGAAACATCTTCGCCAAGAACCTTGGTGTGCTCGACCGTCGTCTATCGATGGCTGGACGAGAAGTGTATAATTGATGTGGGTGCCCGTCTGAAACTGGATTTCGAGTGTGCGCAACCCTGGTTTATATTTGTTCATATTGAATAAAACAATAACTTCACACAAATCATGTTGCTGGCGATGCTAAGGCTGTATATAAGCATCGTCAGCATTATGATAGAGTGCAGGTTTGTCAGTATGGGTATGGATGGAAGTGTGACTCGGGTCAGTCATGTCTTTTGACACTGTGTAAAAGAAACACGTTGAGAAAACTTCTAAATGCAATGAAGCGCTTTGATAGCATGCTAGTGTGCGTTGGCACCAAGAATCCTTGCAACACTCTAAGGGTTGGGTCTGCACCCCCAAAAAGGAGCACACCACACTGGCTGCCGGGTAGCGCAATGTGAGTTCCCGGGGCAGCTCCGGCATACCTCAAGAACCAATTGAATAGCATCACAAGGAACAGAGTTGCTCTTAATTGAATGTACATGTTTCTCCGCCTCACCTCTCCGGCCATGCTGTGTTATGATACTATTTGGCTGCTCCCTGTGCACAGCCACTCTCATCGGGCTTTAAAGACCACCATCTGTGAATGTTGTGCCACCGGCATAAAGAGGCTCAAATCGGGCCAGGTTGCACCACACATGTGGCCTTCTCATAGTATCGAGTCAAGAACCTGAGGTCCAAATCAGCAGAGATGATCTGAAGTTTGAGAAGTCCACGTCGCATGCCGTGGGGAGTGCGTGAGCAAAGGGTCCCTATGTAAACCACAATGAGCTGCAAAGCTCAAAAAGGATATAGCATGCAAGAAAGCATATTACAGCAGTAATATAGCATGATCTCTCCTCGCAAGGTCGAGAGCACGTTTCAGTTCTCTACCTTCACTGCTAAGATTTGGATTTCTCTAGGAGGGGCGAGCACAAAGGACCGCCAAACAATCATGCCCTTGCCATGGACGTGAAATAAGCGACCCTGGATACTCTTCGAAGTGGGGAGCTTGGACCTCTTGTTTTCTTGATTCATGGTGGGTTTGGATGAACTTCTTCAGATCTTTGTTACGTATATTTGCTCTCGACCTTACGAGGAGAGCTACAGAAGACCTTCCATCTTAGATCTCCCAACGAGTCCAGCGAGTCCAACGAGTTGGTTCTTCAAGGTCTTTGACCAACGCCCCCTAACTTGGCCGAAGAGCTCGATCTCTGCCAGGATGAGCTTCCGTTGACCCCAGTGCAGGACGGTTTTTCCTGAAATCAGTCTCTGGCTTCTGCTGACGGAACATGAAATAAGGACCAGTGAGGATGTCCAGAAGTAACACCACTTTGGCACCACTAGGAGACATCAAGCTTTGAATAGACAAACTGTGGTCCCCAAAACGATTCTACATAAAGGTCATACACGGCCAAACTCCATTGGCAAGATCGTTGGGTGTCACTGCTGCGGGATTAAGCGATGGCATCACACCAGCCACTGCTCACCTAGGCCTAGGCTGACCGCAAGGACCTCCAAGTTCTTGCGAGGCGCTTTCAGTTTTGCGTGACTTGTAAGGTCGCTCCTCAGCTTTATCATGATCAAGAACACGTGAAAACTGGAGGTCCTCAGCAATGCTGTAGCCTTCCTGCCAGAATGCAAATGCAGTTCTGAGGACGTTTTGCACTGAGAAGTGCACAAGTGCAGCTGATCTTTTTGGTTCTGAGGAACAGCATAGTATAGTCTATATAGTCGTTAATGATTCAAGAGAGAAATAAAGCTGCATTGCAAACATGCGCGTGTACAGACTATAGTATAGCAAAGGAGGTCACTGGCTTGAACAACAAACAATCAAGAAGCAGGCCAATTTGAGGTGCCCACAAGCTCCTGCAAGCCTTGAGCACAGTGACGATGCCAGTCTAGCTTCTCTTTCACTTGCAACTCGAGCTCCTCACAGAAAGTCATGTCTGTCACACGGTCACAGTGTTGCAAGCTCAAGAGACTCACGATCAGTTACTGAATTATATATATATTGGCTGTTCTATTCCCGGCCTCCAGAGTCGGATAAGTCCCAAGCAAAAGCAATGCCTCTCAAGGTGTCATGCATTCCTTGAGTCCTGAACTCACCAATCATAAGGACTTCCCTGGGGCTTCAAAGCACCAAAGAAGCAACTTGAAGCCGGTATAAGTAGGTCGTTACACTGCTTAGAATGCACCCCTGACGCTGTAAGGAAGCTATCTTTGCAAACCTCTGATGCTTTCCGGCACGGAAGGCTCCCACTTGCACCACCGTCCTTCACCTTGTCTAGCCCACGCTTCTCGGACATGGCGCATGGCTTAGGACAACAGGCGCATGTCTAATGCTGAAGGTCTGGTCAGGATTCTCCTCGCTACCGGTGAAAGTGTCCCAGCCTACCAAAAGATAGGAAAACCCACCCTCATGCCTCATGCTTATTCCATGCAACGGTCATTTCAACCAATCATGTGTCATCTCCTTCCGGCGTAAAATACAAGTGTATATATATATACATATAATTATTCACTATTTGTTGTCCCCATGGTTCATGCAGGTCTGATCTTGGGTCTTTTCCAGCGCTCTCCGTGTTCTCTGTGGTGGAAACGCAACCTTTGTCAGTTGAGAGGGCACAAATCCACTGATGAGGCCAACCCGCTCTTGCCACAAAATAGGACAAACACTGTGCACGCAAACACAAAGCAAAACCAACGTGCTTCAGATCGGGCTTCCCTTAACAGGTCGCGTAATCACCACCATAAGAATAGACGTTGCTGATCCCATATTGGCTTGCTTTTAGACGCTCATCGGCAGGGGTAAGCAAACCATGCCATCTCCCACATCATCCAATGTCTCCAGGGCCGCAATCGTCTGCAAGACCTGATCACATGGCAAAGATACAGCGGTTCTACTGTACAACAATGGGCGGCTTATGGGCTCGAGACCCCCAGGCATCGAAGATGCGCTTCACGACAGAACGTGAGAAGTTTCTACACTAGTGATTCGGTATGCGAATCGGCACGCATGTCTTTCCACACTGAACGAGCCCTCGAATCAATTGTCCCTCGCCCATGGTCCAATTGTAGCCCCCAGCTGAGCGGGAGAGGCATGATCATGCCATGACTACAATCGCCTCCAAGCGTCCGACAGACCAACAGAGTGATAGCCCCAAATTACCAGGAGCTTGGAGGCTCACAGAGTGTTCAGACTTGTACTCCGCTGCCTGCTATAGAAAATGTTTGAAACTAACCTCAACTCATGCAATAGAGGGTTAAGTTAACCTCATGCCCTTTGAAGCACTAGAACGATCTTCTCTCAGGCATCCCCACGGTTGCCAGTGCGAGGCACCGGCGCTCCGGTGGACCTGCACATACAACTGGCGACATGTACCAAGTCGGATCTCATGCACCTGAAGAGAGAGGGAGAGAGAGTGAGAGAGAGAGAGAGAGCGCAAAAAAAACAGACAGACAGACAGACAGGACAGGACAGGACAGACAGACAGAAAGAAATAAAGAAAAAACAATAAAAATATATAAAGAAAGAAAGAAGGAAAGCAGGAAAGAAAGCAAGAAAGAAAGAACGACAGAAAGGACATAAAGAAAGGAAGGAATAATGAAAGAAAAAACAAAATAAATAAAGAAAGGAAGAAAGAAAGAAAGAAAGAAGGAAAGCAAGAAAGAAAGCAAGCAAAGAAAGCAAGCAAAGAAAGCAGGAAAGAAAGCAGGAAAGAAAGCAGGAAAGAAAGCACGAAAGAACGCAGGAAAGAAGGCAGGAAAGAAAGCAGGAAAGCAAGCAGGAAAGCAAGCAAGAAAGACAGCAGGAAAGAAAGCAATAAAGAACGCAAGAAAGAAAGCAAGAAAGAAAGCAGGAAAGAAAGCGAAAGCAGGAAAGAAAGCAGGAAAGAAAGCACGAAAGAACGCAGGAAAGAATGCAAGGCAGGTAGGAGAGGAAGAAGGAGAAGTAGAGATTTAGATGTGATTTGGATTCAGATTTAGATTGTGTGCATGTATAATGAAAGCAGACATGAAGCACAATGTGTTAACAAAAAACACACCATTTTATTGTTTGAAAGGCCTCCTTGAGGCTTTGTGCGTGTTGTACTGGTGGCATTCCTTCAAGCACTATGCCTAGAATGCATTCTCCCTGTGATGACGCTGGAGTTGCTTGTTGGGATGACAACTGACAACCAGGGAATGTGTTTGAAGCAGTGGGGCGAGCAATGGACCGTTGAATAGCTGTGAACTTCTGCAGCTCAAGCACAGGTGAGTTATGAATGAAGTTAGACTTGTTAGACACACGACTCTAAGATCAATCTCTTGCATCCAAGCAGGCTCGCCTGTTCTGGGCCTCTCATCTTCTTCCTTGCAGGCGAATGATTTGAGATGCTCATTCAGAGCTAATTGAGCCATTGCTTGACCCTGTGGAACCCTGTATTCCACGGCAGCCCCGCTCTTGGTAGAAATGTTGCCACCATTTTCAATGTAGCTAAAATAATACCGCTCCAACCCACTGGAGGTTAAGCCCAAAACTTTTGTAACCTTCTTGGGTGAGTCCTTCGTGTGTGGTTCTGAATCAGGCATTTACAGTGATCAATGCAAAGTTCGTCACAAGCCACAAATGCCATGACACTTCCTCTCAGATGGATGTTGTGTCTGGATGAACGCATCAAGTGGCATGTCAAACCGTTCGGATCCCAACAGTCTCAACACTGAACATCAAAGCATTACAGGGTCCTGGTTAGGAACAACAGAACACTAGACTACTGCCCAAACACAACAAGTCAACGTCAAAGACCGAACCTCCAACCCCTTCCAGTTTGGTGTAGAGACAAGTCCGTGCGATGCCGACAAGTCTGTTCTGCGCCTCCCATCCAGACCTCAGTCTCGCTCTGGGATAAACTTGATGGGCTTCTGGTGGCGAGGAGCCCCGATCTCAATCCCAAATACCACCTTGAGAAGTGCAAGAGAATCGTCCCAAGGTACTTTACTAGGAGCATTCGCGTCTGCAATTTGGTGTGTATGGGCAAGGATCTTCTGAAGGGGGTCGGAATCGGGGCTCCAAAACAACCAAATGACCCAGCGGCAAAACAACGTTTGGCTATTCCAAGCCAGTGGCCCACGGCGTGCTGCGAGTGAAGAACATAGTTCTTGAGCCACCTGGCAAAATGCCGTGGCAGCGGCAGTGCCTGGCTACAAGAACCATTTAGATCATTTAGAAGCTTGCTGTTCAGCGAGCAATGGTCTCGTGTTGTTGATTGAAAACAACTTGCAGTAGCATGAAATTGGAAAATATATGTAGATATCAACCTGCTTAGAACAAAGGCCAACATTCATAGAGGAGCTGGCGGATGTAATGCTCGAAGACTAGAAGATTCAAGCCGATACCCTTCAGATCCCTTGGGTGTGTGGGGGTTCAGCATGCTAAAACAGCAGCCTTTTGCTCGTGAGGTGTAAGGTAAGACGCAGCAACCAAGAGATCAATTGTTGGGAAAAGAGTATCAGTATAACCATGCTAACTATGTACATATTCCCACTCCCAGCAAAACTGTTAATTGTTCCAATTGTGGGGTCCTCCCCCCTAAAACCCCTTCTCCACCTGAGCTGCAGCACCTCGGCGTAGTTGGCGGTTGGACCAGAATGGCCCGAACGCACCAACTGTACAACTATATGTAATACCACGTGTATGTATATATATATATATATACGCAATATGCGGTAGAGCTTTGAGAGCAGTCAGCCTCGTTGAGAGCCGTGAATCGTTTTGCCTGAGATACCTTTGGTGCTCTCACTGCATCTTCTCTGACCTTTATATTTCAGGGTGTGTTGCACCGTTGGCTCAACGAATCATAGTGTTTTTTTGACCTTGCGTATCGTTGATTTTGTGGCTTGCTGTCCTTTGCCAAAAGGCCAACGCATTGCCAAACTTCAATAGTGTCCGAGGGCGCGACTCCTTTGAAGAAAACGATAAAGCGGAAGCAAGTGGAGCAAAGATTGGTACCTGCGAGTATAGGCCCGCAGAGAACTTAGGAGAAAAGGCTCAACACCCGGTACACATGCATGTGTGTATATATATATACCTGAGAAGGGGGGGGACGAAAGCCAGCCACGGTAAAAGATATCAATATGGTCACGGGGGGTGAGTGCGAGATCCCTGGTGAGCTCCCCACCTCTTTTCCTATCACATCCTCCCCCGCTATGCCTATCCTGCACATGAACTCCCACTCCATATGGGGTGCCCTTTTGCGTCTGGTCAACAGACCTCTTCACAACACCCCCGAGCAACTCAAAGCTTGCCCGCTGCATTCTGCCCCCTCCCTGTTCTCAATGGGTCACATCGTTTCTTGCAATCCCTCTTTTCCTATCACTTCCTCCTCCGCTATGCCTGTCTCATCCACATGAACTCCCACCCCATATGGGGTGCCCTTTTGCATATGGTTGACAGGCGTCTTCACCATAAAAAAAAGGCATCCCCAAGCAACTCCAAGATTTCTTGCAAGCCCTCTTTTCCTATCACGTCCTCCTCCGCTATGCCTGTCTTCCACCTTCCCCACTGTTCCCTATCCTGCCCTCACAGATCACACCGTGTCTTAAGAGACACACACCTCCCTCTCACCTCGAACACTATTTCAATGGCCACCAGAGACGCACATCTCCCTTTCTGGAGGAGTTCCAACCACTTTTCGTGCCCCGTTGTCCCTCTTTCCCATCATCGACATGAACTCCCACCACTGGTAGAAGACGCTCTAGATTGCGTCCTGAGCCCCTCATGATGCTAATGATGCACTAAAGGCCGTCAATTACATCACCTGCATCACAACACCCCAAAAACAACTCCCAAACTCCAAGTAGTTTTCTTCGCTCTCCCCCACCTTCGCTTTTTACCAGGCTCTGGGTTGGCCCCCTATACTCACTTCGTTCGCCCAACCCAACTCCAGCCTAGATTATCGGCTGGCTTTCGTGATATATAGAGAGATCCTCATGATGGCCAGTTGAGGCAAAGGGTGCAAAAACAGGCCTCATGCAAACTGAAGTACCGTAGATCTTTGAGATTTCCACCTGTGTTGCTTTCTAGTGCAAGGATTTCACTGCCCAAAAACAATGTGAACATCAGCACTTGACTCGGGGTCATGTCCCCAGCAGTTCGTGACATTCAAACTTCATGTAGGAATGTGTGGGTGCTTTTCAGATTGGACAAATTTCTGTGGACAACCGCAGGCCTCAACGTCCCTCCACTCTTGCTCCGATGCCGTTCGAAGTAGACACGCTGTGCCCAGGGCCTCAAATTCGACGGGCAAACGAATACAGTATTGAGTTG